ATGTAAAGCCTTAACCAGCTTGTGGAGCTCTTACAGATAATTTGGACCATGTTGGCCCATGTATGTTAAGTCAGGACTCTGTGGGTGAAACGAAGATCTGGGACTTCCTATTCCTTTGTGTTACTGATAGCACTGTGTCCCACATCGTATTTTATTAACCACTAATGAATTGATGACACTCATTAAAAAAATCTAAAGAAAATACATTCTGTAGCAAAATGAGAACTACATGATGCACAAAAATCATACACTGCTGGAATCACTTGTGAATTTTGCCACAAAATGGCTACAGCCTGTTGTGACGTTGGGAGATTCTGGTGGATAAAAAAGAAACCAAGATGACCTCTTTGGACTAGTTGGCTGTGGATACATCACGAAGCAGTATGGGTAGAAACTTTATCAGTACAAAGACAGAGACAGTTGTGCTGCAGATATCTGAGAGCATGATGATTTTATGGGTGTTCTGCTGAAAGGCAGCCGGGTCATTGCATAACCTCAGTGCATACAGATGTTAGCACTTAAAGTGTTCAAGATCACATGAGCATCAAATCAGGCTGTGCTTTTAGACTTTCAGTACTCCGCTCCCAGGGATTTGCGTTTAGCACAGTGATGCCTGAATCCTGTACTGAGGTGCTAGGTTTGTGTTGCAGATTTGCTTCTTAATCCACTTCCTGCAAATGCACTTGATGGGAGGCAGCAGACGATGGCTCAAGTATTCGGTTCCTTCTACTTATGTGGGAGACCCACACTGACTTCTTTGCATTGGGTTAGTCCTGGCCCTGCCCTAGGTATTGGGGGCGCCTGGGGAGTAGACTACAAGATGGGTTTTATCATTCTCTGATAATTTATCATTATCTTACCTTTGTATCTCTGCCTTACAGGTACATAAGAATGAATGAAAAATTTAAAAGGACTGCTAGCCCCAGTCCAACAAAAATCATAGATGTGTATCCATTACTGGACTCATCTGTTTTGGGAGGCCAAGACCCAACTGTGTCCTGAACAGTACTGAGGAGACAGCCTCAGCCCTCTACTCACTGGGCATGGAACGGAAATGCATTCTCACTTGCCCGCCATGGGCCGCAGCAAGAGAGCCCCACCCAGTGAATTTTGTGGGATGCAGAGGCTGCAGGAGGGATTGTTGGGATCATTGTTTCCTCATATGTGGGCCAGCAGGGTAGTTTGGACAGCTGGACAGATGAGCTCCAAATTTTATAATCCAGGTGACAAGAACCAGTGGAAATACTGCTTTCCTTTTACCCTGGTTCCTTACAGAGTGACTCAGTACATTTACACAACTATTTACCATACAGCAGGAACAATAGTATATATATACATATATATATGGAATTTTTAAAATTTCATGGAAAATGTATATTATGAACATTTCTCTTAATGACCTTTTCTTTTTTTCCCCCAGATTTATTTATTTGAAAGGCAGTGTTACAGAGAGGCAGAGGCAGAGGCAAATGCAGAGGTCACTCTCCAAATGGTTGAAATGGCCAGAGGTGTGCTGATCTGAAGCCAGGAGCCCGGAGCTTCCTCTGGGTCTCCCATGTGGGTACAGGGGCCCAGGCACTTGGGATATCTTCCACTGCTTTTCTAGGCATTAGCAGAGAGCTGGATGGGAAGTGGAGCAGCCAGAATTCAAACCGGTGCCCATATGGGATGCTGGCACTGAAGGTGGCAGTTTTACCTGCTACAGCACAGCACCATCCCCTTAATTACATTTTTTTTCTAAACACTTTTTGAAGTACTCTCTCTCTTTTTTTGCTATTTCTAAAGTACTGGGGTGTGTTACCAAATAAACATGGAAACATCAATGATTTATGTCAATGCAATTTGATAAGAGACACTCTTAGACATACTTATTCAAATTAGTAAGAAGCCATAAGTTTCCAAGACACAAAATACCAACCCAAGCAAGTGCTTAGGAAATGAACACAGGAAGCTTGTCTATAGAGACTAATGAGAACCTAGAATCAGATTCTTGGCAAAGAAGAGTGAATTCTCCTTAGATACCACCCTTAATACAATGAATTTACAGACATAACAATCACATGCTGAGTTGTGGAATTCAAAATGGGAGTCTGAATTTTACATAAAGATCATGTAACTTATCAGCAGCAAGGAGCACAGGTGAGCTTTCACTCTGAAAAGTTTCCAGGTACACTTAACTTTTCCTCTTCCATTAATATCAGCAAGGCCTCAGAGACTGGGATAACATGGAGCATGGCTAATGAGGAGCTCTGTGCACTGAACCCCAGGGTCTTCCAAGTATAAATAATGAGCCAGCACCTTTAGACCTTGACTTTGCCAGTGGAATTCTAGTAGCTCCATGCTGATTCCTACCACGGGGAGCTTCAGCATCAAGAGGGCACGGCCTGACTGTCCCCTTTCCAGTCCCAAGTATAGGACACGAGTCTCCATTGCACTCCCCACAGAAGAGGAGCAGGGGAGCCATCACTCTTGGTCATGCTTCAGCCAAGACTCAGTGCAGCCTGGTAAGTGCTGAGGGAGATGGTGCAATGATCTGGGAATGTTGGGACCATTGTTTCCTCATCATTAGGATGAAATGATTGCTGTGAAAGACAGTTTTACTCCCCAAATAGGCCACATTTCAGCTTAGGAAGTTGTGATGTTTATGCTCTTGGTTTTCAAGAGACTCAGACAGTGTTTTTCTTTCCTCTCATGCTGATTGTTCTTCGCACTGGCATCTCCTTCATGATTGCGGCAAACAAATCTGTACAAGTTATCCCCGAACACCCCAACATGAACATGAGTTTCAGGATGAGGATATCAGTAACCAAAGCATCACAGGCCTTAAGTGCCACTGTCTGAACTCTACGTCCTTAGTAGCTCATTTCATTTCATCATGTAGCCCACATTTTTATTTTATAGAGGAGGATAGGGGCTAGGCTTTCTCATGGATTTCACATCAGGTTGTCAGGTAGAAGCAGCAGCTGGCGATTCTGAATCAGGTGGTCTGATTTCAGACACAAGGAATGTGGCCGGTATTCCCCTGTGATGACCAAGCAGTCATTTCCCTTTTCTGTCCTTCCAGGAAGAGACTTCCTGTTTGCTGCGCTCTTCCTTTGGGGTTTCTTTGTAGACCATTGTGGGCAGCAGCCAGGGAAGGATGCTGAGTTCAAAGGCAAAGATCACAGATGAACAGGCACAGGGTAACTCAGGGAAGATCTTTCTCTTGAGAGTTCACTTCAGCTTTCAACTTCCTCGACTTCTCTTGTAATCTTGCCACTTACTATCAATATGAGACATTAAGATGAGGGGTTAAGTCCCATTTCTCCTGCAGAATCTGTGAAGACATTGACAACCAACTTCAAAGGTACCTAGTGTTGTAACTTAGGGAACTCTGCTTAATACATTCTGATGGTTGGGAGATAATGGAGATGCATCAGATCCAGAGACCGTGCAGTTTTGAATCCTGAACAATCCACTGATTATTCCTATGCATATAGGATGTTCCCAGGATCTTTGACACGTGCATTATCACCTGAGTTGATACCTCATTAAGTAATGAATGGGTTTATAGAAGCTTCATATGTGATGTATATGCAATAGATGAATCAAAAGTGGACAAAAGAAAATTTAGATATTGTTATTACCATTTTAAGGTTGATCTTCATTTCACTCACTAAAATATAAGCTGCTTGACCCTGTGCATTCCTATTTCTGTAGCAGGACTTGTAACTGCTTTCCTTGTATGAGAACTTCAAAACATTCACAGAAAAATGGAATGAAAAATATGAATTTATTTTGGTCCCAATTTTTAAAAAATCATGACAAGTTTTTCATAATATACATTTTCCACATATTATGACAAGATTTTTATATCCCAAAGTTTAATTCTATTAATATTAATTGATACTTTATTTTCATTCCTACAAAACCTTTTAGAGTACAAGTATATCCTCGCAACATATAAGCAATGTATTTTGGGAACAATGACATTCCCATTCCCTTTTCCTTTTTTGATTCCTCAGACTCTATTATGTGCTTTTCACAGAGGAGGCATAAAAATAACCTCTGTTGCATATTGAGAAGAGCATTCCTTGGCTCATAGTCTCTGATTTTCAAATAAAAAAACTTTTTTAAAAAATTTCTTTGCCAGGTAGTGTTACAGAGAGTGAGAGAGATAGAGAGAAAGGTCTTCCTTCCATTGGTTCACCCCCCAAATGGCTGCTACAGCTGGTGCTGCGCCGATCCAAAGACAGGAGCCAAGTGCTTCTTCCTGATCTCCCATGCAGGTGCAGGGGCCCAAGCACTTGGGCCATCCTGCACTGCCCTCCTGGGCCACAGCAGAGAGCTAGACTGGAAGAGGAGCAACTAGGACTAGAACCCGATGCCCATATGGGATGCCAGTGCTGCAGGTGGAGGATTACCCAAGTGAGCCACGGCACAGGCCCTCAAATAAAAATTTAAAAAATAAATCATGAAAGAGCTGTAAGATTGAGCTCATCACTGTCAAGAAATTATTATGGAGGCCGGCACTGTAGTGTAGAGGGTAAAAGCCACTGCCTGCAGTGCTGCCATCCCATATGGGCACCGGTTCGACTTCCGGCTGCTCTACTTCTGATCCAGCTCTTTGCTATGGCCTGGGAAAGCAGTAGAAGATGTCCCAAGTACTTGGGACCCTGCACCCATATGGGAGACACAGAAAAAGATCCAGGCACCTGGCTTCAGATTGGCTCAAGTCCTGCCGTTGTAGCCATCTAGCGAGGAACTGGTGGATGGAAGACCTCTCTCTCTTTTTCTCTCTGCCTCTGCCTCTAACTCTGCTTTTCAAATAAACAAATAAATCTTTAAGTATTGTATTGCATTAAAATTTTTCTCTTTTAATTCAATTATTCTAAGAACATTAGAGTTACCCATGTGCTACACACATAACTGGTTGAACTGAAAATAATAAAATGTGCCGATTGCCTGCTTGTGTGCTTCCTTTTACCAACACTGTTTTGTTTTCCCATAGGATTCCAGGATATATTGAAATGCAAAATATCACACGTGTCTCAGAATTCCATCTCATGGGATTCTCAGAGGATCCAGAACTGCAGCCCTTCCTCTTTGTGCTGTTTCTGTCCATGTACCTGATCACAGTGATCGGGAACCTGCTCATCATCTTGGTCATCATCTCAGACTCCCACCTGCATACCCCCATGTATTTTTTCCTCTGCAACCTGTCCTTGGCTGATGTGGGTTTCACATCCACCACGGTTCCCAAGGTGACTGTGGACATCCACACTCACAGCACAATCATCTCCTATGTGGGCTGCCTGACGCAGATGTCTCTCTTTCTCATCTGTGGATGCATGGATGATTTGATTCTGACTGTGATGGCCTATGACCGTTTTGTCGCCATCTGTCACCCCCTGCATTACCAGGCCATCATGAATCCCAGCCACTGTGGCTTCTTAGTTTTGGCATCCTTTATGGCCAGTCTTTTGGATTCCCTGCTGCACAGTTTGATGGTCTTGCAAGTTACCTGCTTCATGGATGTTGAAATTTCTAATTTCTTCTGTGACCCTTTTCAACTTCTCAGTCTTGCCTGCTCTGACTCCTTCACCAATGACATAGTCAGGTATCTTGTTGGCATCATATATGGATTTTTCCCTATCTCAGGGATCCTCTTCTCTTACTATAAAATCATTTCTTCCATTCTGAGAGTCTCATCACCAGGTGGGAGGTACAGAGCCTTCTCCACCTGTGGCTCTCACCTGTCAGTCATTTGCTTATTTTATGGAACAGGCCTTGGAGTCTATCTCAGTTCAACTTTTTCAGTGTCTCCTGGAAAGGGTGCCTTGGCCTCAGTGGTGTACACTGTGGTCACCCCCATGCTCAATCCCTTTATCTACAGCCTGAGGAACAGAGACATGAAGAGGGCCATGTGGAGGTTCCTCAGGAAAACAGGCTCATCTCAGTCCCTGAGCCATACATCTGGACTCTTGGTGGGAACTGCAGCAAAATGAAGCTCTCAACCTATAAATCTCACTTTTCTCTGTACATGATGTGTGAGGCTGCTGCTCTCCAGATTTTGTGTCTGGTTATTATTTCTTTTGGTCCTTTTAATGAGGCATATTGTAGATTTTTTTATACATTACGAGAGGCTTGGAGAGATGAAGAGATAAAAGGCTTTTGGATAAAAAGATGAGAATCTGGGAGTGGATCAATAATTGTGACAAAGTTATTAATGAGCTTTAATACAGGAAATGATGAGGTGAGGGGTGTAGGAGAATTCTTCGTATGACTACCTCACAAGTTATGTTGTATAAATTTAAACCTATTCTGAAATAAAATGTTAAAAAATATACAACTCTCAATAAAAATTATTTGTAAAGTTAAAAAAGCCACTGATTCTTCTTGTTATTCTGCTGAACATTCCACTGAATAGTCCAATAGAGTTATTGTTTTATTCATCTTCTATATTTCTGCTCATTTTTTATCTTAGAGTTTATGTCTCTATATTTTATTACAATTTTGCTAACTCACCATTTTCCTGATTGCTTTGTTTCTATGTTTCTGTGTTATCTGTTATCATACTGATAATCTTTAAGTGGTTATTTTGAGTTTGTTGTGGGATGATCAAATACATGCATTCCTTTAGGAAGACATAGTACTTTAACGCTGGAGATGCAGTTTATTAATTTGATTAGGTGATATTTCCCTGTTTCTATGCTTTCTCGTACTCTCCATGGATATTTGAGCATTGGGGAAAAAAAGCATCTTCCAGTCCTTACGGATGGGCTTCCTACAGGGAAAGACTTTCACAGCAGACTGTCTAGAGACTCTGGGTGACACCCAAACTTCCCTGAGTTTCTCTGTGTGTGATTTGTGCAGTTAAAGGGGTTAGCCTTTTTTTTTAGATTTATTTTTATTTTATTAGAAAGAGTTACAGAGATAGGCAGAGTGAGAGTGAGAGCAAGAATGAGAAAGATCTTCCATTCCACTGACTACTCCACAAATGGCCACAATGGCCAGAGCTAAGCCAATAAAGCCAGGAGCCAGGAGCTTCCTCCTGGTCTCCCACATGGGTGCAGGGGTCCAAGGGGTTAGCCTTTTCTCTCCAGAGCTCAGCATCTCTTCCTTCCCCTAGTGTCTGTTTGTGGTACTGCACTTCCTCTAAGGGCTGTGCCAAGGTGCCTTCCATTGTTCTCTACAGCCATTTCCATTCAATGGCATTACCATTTGAGCTCCAAGGCAGGCAAAGTATGAACCAGTGCCTCAGGCAACCCTGAGAAGTCAAAACTTTGTGTGAATGCTCCATCTTCTCTTTCCCTTCCATGAGAGATTGGAACTCCCTCCCAGGAGTTGGAAATTTTCTCCTCATTCTGCTATGCTGTTTCTGGGACAGAGAGCTCTGTAGTGGGAAAATGCAACAAACGTACTTTGATACACTTCTCCCTGGCTTTGCACTCAGCTAGGGTGACACAATCTCTTAACTCATTTATAGAGTTCTAACAAAGGTGATTTGGTTCACAATGTTGGTAAATCCAATCTCAATGGGAGAAATGAAGCCATAGAGTTTCCTATTCCATCGCCTTCTTGATATCACTAATCTCCAAAGTATACTGCATTAAAGACTTAATGACATGATAACACACATTAAAATACCTACGGAAAATACATTCTGGTGTGCAATGATCACTTACTTGGAGAGCAAACATCAGAGGCCCCTGTACTGGCAGCATTTGTTGAAAGCCTACAGCTGTTTGTGACATAGGGAGATTCTGCTGGAAGAAGAGAAATCATGGTTATTTCTTTGGACTACATGACTGATGATATACCATGGAGCAGTGTGGTAGAAACTGTATAACTACACAATGCAGAGATACATCGACACAACTGACAGTTCTGCAGGAAAATGTGGCTGAGAGCAGATCATTTTATGGGTTGTGTAACATGCTGGGGAGAAGATCGACAGATGCACAATCTTAGGGTGCATACACACCAATGTCAGAGACCCACTCTTCAGTACCTCAAGTGCTCAAGAAATTCTGAGAAAATACCATGTGCAGTCTTTAATGCTAGTGCATGGGGCAAGCATTTGGCACGGCAGTTAAGATGTCACTTTGGATGCAGGCTCTTAGTTTTGAGTGCCTGGGTTTGAGTCCTTGCTCTGCTTCCAATTTTTACTTCTTGTTACTACTGTTCACCCTGTGATTCAGCATATTGTGGCTTAAGTATTTTTGGCTCTGCCATCTACATGGGAGACCCAGGTTGGATCCTCAGTTCCTGGCTTTGCCTGACTCAGAACTGGGTCTTGAGGGCTTTTAGGGAGTGAATCAGTCACTAGAAGTTCTCTCCCTTTGTCTTTCTGTCTTTGCCTCTTTTTGTCCTTCAAATACAAAGAATGACTTATTTATTTTTTTATTTTTTATTTTTTTGACAGGCAGAGTGGACAGTGAAAGAGAGAGACAAAGAGAAAGGTCTTCCTTTGCCATTGGTTCACCCTCCAATGGCCGCCGTGGCTGGTGCGCTGCGGCTGGTGCACTGCGCTGATCCGATGGCAGGAGCCAGGTACTTCTGGTCTCCCATGGGGTGCAGGGCCCAAGTACTTGGGCCATCCTCCACTGCACTCCCTGGCCACAGCAGAGAGCTGGCCTGGAAGAAGGGCAACTGGGACAGAATCTGGCGCCCTGACCGGGACTAGAACCCGGTGTGCTGGCGCCACAAGGCGGTGGATTAGCGTAGTGAGCCGTGGCGCTGGCAGCCAAAGAATGACTTTTTAAGTAAGAATACTGGTTCCAGACTAGGAAGAACTGTGCCTGTGTCTTCTCTTTCTGGAGTCATCTGTATTAGGATGTCCCTCCTGGCTGTCTTCCTAACCGTCCTGAGGAGACAGCTCACCCCTCATTGATCACTGGCAAAAAAGGGCAGTGTACCCTCATTCCCCAGACATGTTCTACAGCAGGGGTGCCCAGCCCAGTGCACTCTGTGGGACACATTGGATGGAAGAGGTACTGTAGGAAGCAAGGTTTCCTCATGGGCAGGACTGGCAGGGCAGTTGGGATAATTAGATTGACTAGTCAGTCACCCAGTTTCAGATTCTTGGCATAGAAAATGGAATTCTCCATGGTTTTCATATTGCTGCAATGGACTGAAAGAATCACATTGGGATTTGTGAACATGGAGAACAAAAATCTGAATTTTATGTAAAGATCCTGCATCTTGGAATTCAGCAGCAAGAATCTGAGGTGAGCGGTCCTTGGAGAACATTCCAGGTGCACTTACTTTTCTCCTGTTTTTCTCCCATTAGCATCAGCAAGTCATCAGAGACTGGGCTACATGGGCCTACAGGCTAATTAGGAGCTCTGTGCATTGAGCCCCCAAGGTCCTCTCAGCACAAACAATGAGCAGAGCCTCCAGACCATGATGTTGCAGTGGAAATATAATGGTCACTCCTCTCCATGTGAGTGTCTGCATCACGAAGCCCCAGACTGAGTCTGTCTCCTTCCCTGTCCTGAGTCCGAAGCCTGAGGCTCCCTTGAACTCCAGGCAGCAGAGCAGCAGTGGAGCCATCGCCCTTGGACATGATTCTGCTCAGACTCAGCACAGCCCAGTAAGTGCTGAGGGAGACAGTGGAAGTTGATGGGGCTGTCAGGAACACTGTTTCCTCATTATCAGGACAAGCAGGACAGCTGGGCTAGACAGCTGGGAGGGAAACCATAGACAGTTTCAGCTCAGAGGCCTATGCAAGTTTATGTTCTTGGTTCTCATCAGGGTCCAAGATTTCTCATTTTGAATTTTTCCCTCCCACAGTGATTCCCAGTCCCACTGGCAGCCCCTTCATGACAGCAGCCTGTGCATACCTAAAACTGTCCCCTGAGCACTCAGCAATGTCATGAAGGTGATGGTGAGGAGGAGGGGGAGGATGCCATGTCCCTAACATCACACAGCTTTATTGAGGGCTTCCTAAGTGCCAGGCTCTGAACCCTAGGTTCTAAGTAGCTTGTTTGATTGCATCAACATAAAACCATGTTCCATTGCCCACATTTATTTTTGTCTTACAAAAGAAATGAGGAGCCCTGAGTTTTTGTGTAACTCTTGCAATGTTGTGGAGTAGAAATGAGTGAAGTCATGTTTGAGACAAGTGAGTAGTCTGACTGTAGACACGAGGAGCATGTCTAGTATTCCCCTCTGATATAGCAGCCATCTCTTTCTCTTTCTGGTCACTCCAGGGAGGGACCCCATTTCACTGTGATCTTACCTTGGGGTTTTTTGGTAGATCACAGTGGGCAGCAGTAGGTAAAGTATGGCTGAGTTTAAAGGCAAAGAACACAGAAAGATCACAGAGTCATTCTGGGGATATTCTCTCTCTCTCTCTCTCTCTCTCTCTCTCTCTCTCTTTCTCTCAATCTCATTTCAAGATTTCAACTCAGCCATCCACTTTGTCCCCAACTCTTGAAATCACTCACTTAATCTGAGAAAGAGGCATGCGGTTTGGGTCTTGGGTTCCAAGACCAAGGAATGAATTAGCATTGCCTTTAGGCAGCTGAAGTTAGAGAACTGTACTCCAGCTATCAGGAAGGGGTGTCATGACAATCTTGGAATTCTACATAGGATGATGGAAACTCAAAGCTGGTGCTGGGTCTTCCCTGATCTCCCTCACTTCAACTACAGGCAAGAAAGTTTATTATCAGAAAAACCATAAAGCAGAATGACCAGACCATGAAAGTAAACAGAATAAAAGCTTTAAACAAGTTTAAAGGAAACATCTCTTATATAGCAGTTTTTCTAAAAAATAAAAACACTGAGGTTAAAAGGTGTGTATATTAAAAATATTTGAAAAATTCAGGTGGCTCTTAAAGTTCATTATTTTATATCATTGTCAGGTGCCTAGTGTAGCAGTGTTACATATGTGGTCACTGATATTACATGATTATATGTACACACATAAACTATTTTCATCAAGATTTGAGGTCCACAAAATAAATGAAAGGAGTTATGTATTAAATGATGCTAAAAGACAAATGGGAGTGGGCATATAGCATTGTGGTTAAGATGCCCACCTCCCACACTGGCATGCCTGGGTTGGATTCCCGGATCTGGCTCCTCACTCCAGCTGCCTGCTACTGCAGATGATAGGAAGTAGTGGTGATGATCAAATATTGGGGTTCCTCCAACACATGTGGAAGACCTGGATTGAATTCCATCTCCCAAAGCTTCCACATGGGAGAAGTCACAGCCATGGTAGTCATTTGGGGCAGTGAACCAGTGGAGGGAAACTCTCAAATCTCTAGCCGTCTGTGTCTCTGCCTCTCAAAACAAGCAGATACACAATGCTTGAGTGACTACTTCCATCTACAAAGGAGGGCAATCAGAAGAGCTAAGAATGATAAAACCCTAGAGGGCAACTGATACTCAGCAATATTTCCTGATTGTGAATACCCAACTTTAATTTGGTGGTTAGATAACGCAGTTCTAGCTCTTCAGGGTATTATACTTTGTTTAAGTCAAGTAATTACACTGTTGATTACATTAAAATAAGGTATATAGCACACTGTTAGCAAGAATGTTTTTCTAAACAAGGAAAGACACTTTATATGCTTCCTTTTAAAAAGCAAAGGGTGCTTCACCAAAAGAAAATTTAGCAAGTAGAAAAGCAAAAGACCCTAGTTTAACAGAAATATAAACAAGTGTTATAGTCATTGAATAGAAAGATGACCATTTCACCCATAGATAGTAAAATTTAAAGTAATCACTGTTCATTAAAAGTATAGTAGCATAACATAATGTAGATTAAAATATATTATCTCAAAAAGGAAAGAAAGTGAGCGAGGGAGGGAATAAAAACTGAATATCATTATATTGTATCTATGAACTAAATTACATCCACTAAAACTAAAAAAACTAAAAATGAATTCAAAGAATAGGTTATAATTGATTGTTATCATGGACTTAGTCCTTCTAATGTTTATGGTCTTCTAAAATTTTCATTTGAGTGTCTCTAAAGTAGATGTGCGTGGAAGGAGCTGAGTAACACGAAAACCAATCATGAAAGCACCCTAAGAAGCCTGAGTGTTATGGTTGAGAAGACTGGAAGAAGTTGTATGCTCACCAATGTGAATGAGAGTGGGAAAACACATCATAAAAAATTATGAATTTCTAAACTGTATAGTACCAAGTAACATTTTCTTTTAAATCCGTTTACTGTATAAACCTTAGAGTTACTCTTGAACTATATGCTTGACTAGTTGAGTTGAAAACATATACAGAGTGCTGGGTGCCTGTTATCTGTTTACTTTTACCAACATTATTTTCTTTTCCAGAAGGAATGCAGGTTATATTGAAACACAAAATCTTACACGTGTCTCAGAATTCCATCTCTTGGGATTCTCAGAGGATCCAGACCTACAGCCCCTCATTTTTGTGCTGTTCCTGTCCATGTACTTGGTCACAGTGCTCGGGAATCTGCTCATCATCCTGGCTGTCAGATCAGACTCCCACCTTCACACCCCCATGTACTTCTTCCTCTGCAACCTGTCCTTGGCTGATGTGGGTCTCACCTCTACCACGGTTCCCAAGGCGATTGTGGATGTCTATACTCACAGCACAGTCATCTCCTATGTGGGATGCCTGGTACAGATGTCTCTCTTCATCATCTATGGATGCATGGATGATTTGATTCTGACAGTGATGGCCTATGACAGGTTTGTTGCCATTTGTCACCCTCTTCATTACCAGATCATCATGAACCCCCGCCGCTGTGGTTTCTTAGTTTCAGTGACAGTTGTGGGCAGTCTTTTGGATTCCCTGCTGCACAGTTTGATGGTATTGCAAGTTACCTGCTTCAAGGATGTTGAAATTTCCAGTTTCTTCTGTGATCCTTCGCAGCTTCTCAACCTCACCTGCCTTGACACCATCATTCATGACATATTCGTATATTTTATTGGTGTTGTATATGCTTTTCTCCCTATGTCAGCACTCTTCTTCTCTTATTATAAAATCATTTCCTCCATTCTGAGGGTCCCATCACCAGGTGGGAAGTACAAAGCCTTCTCCACCTGTGGCTCTCATCTGACAGTTGTTGGCTTATTTTATGGAACAGGCCTTGGGGTCTATCTCAGTTCAAATTTCTCACTTTCTCTGGGGGAGGGTGCCTGGGCTTCAGTGGTGTACACTCTGGTCACCCCCATGCTCAACCCCTTTATCTACAGCCTGAGGAACAGGGACATCAAGAGGGCCATCTGGAGGCTCCTCAGCAACACAGTCTCAGTGCCATGCATTTGGGGTACTAGTTGCAAAGCAGCTAAACTGAGTGTCTAGAACTACAAACCTCACCTCTCACATTCCATGGTTTTTGAGGCTCTTGTTCTCTCCATATATTGCGTGTTAAATTGGCCTCTTTTGGTCTTTTTGGTGGGGAGCATTATAGAATATTTGTTCAGGTTAACCACCACGTTTTTTTTGGACAGGCAGAGTTAGTGAGAGAGAGACAGAGAGAAAGGTCTTCCTTTGCTGTGGGTTCACCCCCCAAATGGCCACTACGGCCAGTGTGCTGCGCCAATCCGAAGCCGGGAGCCATGTGCTTCCTCCTGGTCTCCCATGAAGGTGCAGGACCCAAGGACTTGGGCCATCCTCCACTGCACCTCCTGGCTAGAGTAGAAAGCTGGACTGGAAGAGGAGCCATTGGGACTAGAACCCGGGGTGTCGGCACCACAGGCGGAGGATTAGCCAAGTGAGCCATGGCACTGGCCAACCACTGCATGTCTTAATCCTTTGATACTATGGAGCTTTCTGTAGGTTACTGTTGCTGTTGCAGACATCCTAGACAGATGAACAACTCTCTTTTTTAAAATTTATTTGACAGAGTTACAGACAGTGAGGGAGAGAGAGAGAGAGACAGACAGACAGACAGAGAGAAAGGTTTTCCTTCCATTGGTTCACTCCCCAAATGGCCATTAATGGTCAGAGATGCACCAATCCGAAGCCAGGAGCCAGGTGCTTCTTCCTGGTCTCCCAAGTGAATGCAGGGCCCAAGCACTTGGGCCATCCTCCACTGTTTTCCCAGGCTATAGCAGAGAGCTGGACTGGAAAAGGAGCAACTGGGACTAAAACTGACACCCATACAGAATGGTGGCACCACACTTTTTTTTTATAAAAGATTTATTTACTTGAAAGTCAGGGAGAGGGAGAGGGAGAAGAAGAGGGAGAGGGAGAGAGGGAGAGAGGGAGAGAGGGAGAGAGGGAGAGGGAGGGGTGCAGTGTCCCAAGGATTTGAGCCATCTTCCATTGCTTTCCCAGGCCACAGCAAAGAGCTGAATTGGAAGCGGAGCAGCTGGGACTTGAACTGGCACCCATATGGGATGCTGGCACTGCAAGCGGTGGCTTGACCTGCTATGCCACAATGCCTGCCCCTCCTTTTGTGTTTTTACAGTTTCCATATTTTCCAAAATTTATATGTATCTTACACATGTGTGTCACCCTTCGTTATCTGTGAGAATGTGCAGTGCTGCTCATTTTTAGGGAACACCAAGGAGCTTTAGCAATATTCAGGCTTGAGCCTCTCCACCAGAGATTCTGATTTCTTCAAGTGTATGAAGACTGAGAAGAGAATTTCTAAGGCACCCGAAGTGTATGATGAAAACCGACAACAAGTTTTCAGGAGCTTCATTGTAGGTGATGAGCTACTTTTCTCTGTTTCAGGATTTTCCTTCTTTGTGTGACTTTACACAGTTTGATTATAATTTGTTTTGGTGTTAGTCTTTTGGATTTATTATAATTGGAGGTCACTGAGCTTCTTGAATATCTATGTTTACTTTCTTCTTCAAATTTGAGAAGTTTTAAATTTTAGTCATTATTTCATCATGTTGGTTCTCTGCTGCACGCTCTCTCTCTACTTATTGTGGAACTCCCAGAATGCATATGTTGGTCCTCTTATAGTATTCCTTAAATCTGACTCTTTTACTTCTTTTCATTCTTTTTCCCTCTGCTCTTTACTTAATAGTTGAAAAAAAAAAACAACTCAATCTGAAGACAAAGTTTTGATTGGTTGAGTCTAGCAGTGATTGTAAAGACTAAACACGTTTTGAGTTAAAAACAGGGGAAGCTGGATATGATTCACTAATTGTGACAAAGCAATTAATATGAGATGTTAATAAAGGAAAAGGTGTGAGTGGCAATGGGCATGCCCTGTAATACTACCTCATAATTTGTTTTATACATTTAAATCTATTCTGATATAAAAGTTTAAAAGTATAACTGTCAGTAAAAATAATTTGGATGGTTAAGAAAATGGCTGAGTCTCTCTTCTTGATACAGTCTGCTTTTGAACACTGTATTTTTATTCCAATTTAGTTATTTTATGCTTTATCTCCAGTATTTGTTTCTTTTATAGTTTACATCTCTTTATTTTATTATCATTTTGTTCATACATAGTTTTCATAATTTCTCTGTGTTATCTGTTAATATATTGACAATCTTTAAGACGGTTATTTGAACTTGCTGTGGGATAATCAAAATATCTCCATTTCTCTGCAGGTGGTTTATTTCTGCAGATAAAATTTGTTCCTTCATGTCTCATTTGTTTCTATGCATTGCTTGTGTTCTCTGCTGAGATTGGAGTCTCAGAAAAATCAGGAGGGGCTGGCTCTGTGTCGTAATGGGTAAAGCCACCGCCTGCAGTGCCGGCATCCCATATGGGTGCTGGTTCAAGTCCTGGCTGCTCCACTTCTGATCCAGCTCTCTGCTATGGCTTGGAAAAACAGTAGATGGCCCAAGTCATGTCTGTGGGAGACCTGGAAGAAGCTTCCAGCTCCTGGCATTTGATCGGCACAACTCTGGGAAGTGCTGCCAATTGGGGAGTGAACTAGTGAATGGAAGACCTCTCTTTCTCTGAGTCTCCTCTCTCTCTGTCACTCTTTTAAATCAAATCTTTTTTTTTTAAAAAAAGATAAATAAGGCTCTCCCAGTCCTTATGGATTGGCTTCATGAAGGGAAAGACCTTTACTGGTAGTCATGTTAGACATTCTGGGGAACCTCAAGCCTTTCTGGGGAGGCTTTGTCTCAGGGCTTTTGTGTGTGGTTTTGCAGTTAGAGTTTTACCATTGTCCTCAAGGGTGCATCATCTTCTCCTCCACTTGGTGTCTGCCTGTGGCACTGCAGTTCCTCTGGGGGCTGTTCCTAGCTGCCCTCCCTTATTCTCTGTGCCCCACATAGCAATGTCATTACCATAAGTGTCCAAGTCAGGCCAGGCATCAACTCCTTCCTCAGGCCTTTCTGAGAAGACAGAACTTTGAACACTCCACCTGCTCTTTCTCTTCCACAAGAGATGTTAGGAGTTGAGTATTTTCTCTCTGCCATACTGCCTTTGGGGCAGGGAGGGCCTTGTTGTGCACATGCAGCGAGCACTCTAATGCACTTGGACACAGCTCTTGCAGGTTTTGTGCACACCTAGGGTGACACAGTCTCTTAGCCAGTTTGTTAGAGGCCAGACACAGGCATTTTGTCCCTGTATATTAAGTCTTGCCATCATGTAGGAAATGCAGACCTGGGCTTCCTATTCTGTATGTCACTGATATCACTGTGGCCAAATGCATATTTTTTAATACTTAATGAGCTGACAACACTCATTAAAAAATTTAAAGGAAATGCATCATGGAGTGAAATGAGTACTACCTTGGTAATCAGAAAAAAGAAATCACTGGGAACATTTGTTGGGGGCATTTGGGCAGTGACCTAGCAATGGGATTTATCTTTCTCTGGTTGTCTTTGTCTCAGCCTCTCTGCATTTCAAGTGGATACAAATAAATAAAAAGAGCACTAGTCTCAGCACAGTGAAGACTGTACCTGTGTGTCCTCCTTCCAGAATCATGTGTGTTAGAGGAGGCAGGGCTGCATGTCTTCCAAAATTCCTGAGGAGAGAGCCTTAGCCCTCCATGCTCACTGGGCATGAATGGGAAATGGACCCTCACCCTCTACTCATGCCCCACAGCAAGGGAGCCCATACTGTGTGTTCTGTAAGACAGAGAGCTTGCAAGAGGGACTGTTGGAAGCATGGTTTCCTTATGCACAGGACTAGCAGGGTATTTGCAATTATTAGACTGGCAAGTCCCCAAAGAAAAGTATCAGTGCAAAGACCAAAATTTTAAGAGCTTGGTTCTTGGGTAGAATTCTGAACTATCAGTGAGAATTCTGCTTTCCTTTTATAGTGTTTCTTTCAAGAGTAACTCATCATGTTTGCATTACTATTTACTGCATCACAAGGTTAAATACAGATATGTTTACATGTATGGGGTCCTTCAAAAGTACAAGGAAATGCCTATTTTGAACCTTTCTTTCAACTCTATTTCCTATGAACTTTTAAAAATTATTCCTTGTCTTTCTTTCTTTCAGCTGTTCCTAAGTAACTAATCATAAGGTGCTAAATAAATATGTAATACTTAATAGTCTTATAATATATAAAAAATTCAAGGCCAGCACCACGGCTCACTAAGCTAATCCTCAGCCTGTGGTGATGGCACTCTGGGTTCTAGTCCTGGTTGAGGTGCTGGTTCTGTCCCAGTTGCTCTTCTTCCAGTCCAGCTCTCTGCTGTGGCTTGGGGAAGGCAGTGGAGGATGGCCCAAGTGTTTTGGCCCCTGCATCCACATGGGAAACCAGGAAGAAGCACCTGGCTCCCGGCTTCAGAATGGCACAGTGCACTGGCCATAGCAGCCATTTTGGGGGTGAACCAATGGAAGGAAGACCTTTCTCTCTGTCTCTCTCTGCCTAACTCTGCCTTAAAAAAATTCAGTAAAGACACAATTTATAAGAAGACTCATTTAAAAGATTAAAATACCAATACGTGGGGCTGACATTCTAGCACAGTAGGATAAGCTACCCCTTGTGACACCGGCATCCCGCATGGGAGACTGAGTCCCATCTGCTCCATTTCTGAGCCAGCTCCTTGCTAAGGCACCTGGGGAAGCACCAGCTATGGCCCAGACACTAGGATACAGAAGAAGCTCCTGGTTCCTGGCTTTGGCTTGGCCCAGCCCAAACATCTGTGGTCATTTTGGGGGTGAACCAATGTGTGGAAGATCGATCGCTCTTTGTCTCTTACTCTCTTTGTCACTCTGCCTTCCAAAGTAAATTAATAAATATATTAAAATTAAAAACAAACCTATTTTTTTTGACAGGCAGAGTGGACAGTGAGAGAGAGAGAAAGAGACAGAGAGAAAGGTCTTCCTTTGTCATTGGTTCACCTTCCAATGGCCACTGCGGCTGGTGTGCTGTGGCTGGTGCCACATCTACAAACATCTACAAACACCTACAGCCAACTTATATT